AAATTGAGAGAGAGAGAGAGAGAGAGAGAGAGAGAGAGAGAGAGAGATAGGAAAAGGAAAAAACTAGCTGGTGTAACTTTCGTGTAATTTCGATACGTTCGATATAACAAAGATCGTGAAACATGATAAGAGACAGATTGAGTCCAGTCGAGTTTTAAGGACGTAATCGCTTAAACATTACCTCGTAATTACGGACAATTATTTGGCGACATTATGAAGACTCCGTCCTAATGGTAAAATAATTGATTTCCAATAGTCCTCTGCATAAGACATTGACGGTTCGGGCATTGAATGTCGATCGATGAGCGAGGTCAAGCATCCTTTCCAACGTTCACGTAGTAATTGGCGTTGAAATTTCCGAAGGATATATTTATTCGTACGGAACGTACCTTTTTTTTCTTCTCTCTCTTTTTTTTTTTTTCAAGCTCTTTAAACGAATAAATTGGCTGGAATTAAATGTTGCTCGTGGGAGGAGGAAATAAAGTAAAGAGGAGTGTAGATTGAAAATGTCCTTTTCATAATAATATATTAGAAAAATAATTTATTCGTTGTAATATCGTAGTTGTATGACACGTAGTAATATTATAAATTTATTTGAAAATGTTTTTTTTTTTTAAGGTTAATGGTAAAATAAGTTGAAATTTTGTGTTGTGATATTCAATCACGAATATGGAGATAGATATCGATTTTTAGTTAAACGAGGTTTCTTTTTATTCTTTTTTTATGTTTAAATTTTTTTTTCACTTTCTCTCTCTCCCTCTCTCTCTCTCTCTCTCTCTTTCTTCCTATATCATCTGTTTTTTTTTTTTTTTATGAAATTCACTTAACGAGCAAGCATACGTCGAATAACGTACACGTATAAGCTGAATTATAGTTGAAAACGATTTGAAATCCGTACGACAAATGTTTGCATCAGCATTTTAACAAAACGTAGAGAAGATACTAGAATGTTTTCCAAAGTAGCTCAAAGCAAGAAGTCGTGCTCGATCCTTTAAATCCCTCTTTAAACAATCGCTAAAGTATATACGTTTTATAATGGCCAAAAAAAAAAAAGAAAAAAGTCACTAGTAACAAAAGATTATATCATTGTAATCTTGATTTCTTTTTATCTTTCAAACCATAGATCAAATAAATCTGTAAAAGTACAACACATACATCTAATCAAATTCTAACCAAAATTATTTATGTTTTATTTACAGAAATCCCGGCACCATCGACGACCTCAACAACGCCATTTCCGTATTACGTAACAATGTTAATGAAGAAAAACGGTAATTAGCGCTTTGTTTCAACGTCGAAACTTTATTTTCTACTTATGCCATTTTCACCGTCTTGAACGATTTCTCTCAAGTAACGTGAGAAGTATAAGCTCGAGATTAATTAAACGACGGTAGTTGGTGGGGGTGGGGTGGTTCTGTATTCTCTCCTTTCTCACCCTCTCCTCTCTCTCTCTCTGTCTCTCTCTCTATTGCTTTTTTTTCTTCCTTTTTTTTTTCTTCTCTTCTCCTTACTTCCTCAAGATGATCTTAATTACACTTGGATTCGCGCGCGATCAAAGTTCGTATTTTGTTTATCCTTTTCTCTTCGAATAAGAGCATTTCCCTTAGAATCGTATATGCAAAGTTACCTTACTTCGTTACAATGATCTTAATTATTCCCGTAATTACGTGAAACTGTAGCCGTGCTAGAGGGTAAAAGTCGAAGTTTCCACTTTTCTTCTCCATTTCCTTTTCTTTTCTTATCTTTTCTCTTATTTAGAGTAGTTTATCCTCTTTATTTTTGTATATAGAGAGTATCTTCCTTCCTCGTATACCAATGTAGCATATCGATAAAACGTCGTACGTATATTGTCCCTCTAGGTAGAAACGGTAACAAGAAATTACGTCAACGTCCCAACGATTACGAGGTCGAGGAATGGAAAAATTCAGGTCAGTAAACGTCTATTTCTAACTACACTTGCTAAATTCCCGAATGAATTCCCATGACGATATACATCTCTGCTTTTGCTAATAAGTCGATTGAGTATTTTAGAATAATTAAAATTTTACCAAGGATACGTACAAGAAATAGGATGTATTATTATTTTGCATTCGTTAACATT